ATGTTAGTACTGAGTTAATGGGATTTTTATGTGGACATGTAAAGATGTGAATCCCCACTTATAGATCGAATCCAACATTTATCTGCACATAACAATCCAGACCATAGTGTATCATGAACAGACAGCATGTTTCCTTAAAAGTCAACCAGTTCAAGTAACACATGAAGATATGCACTACAAGGGAACAGCCATTTGATTTCTTGCAAGTATCTTTATGCCAGAATCACCTAATTTAAGTGGTATAAAATATTTGCAATAAATAAATGGATAAAATAAACTTGATCAGACTTACGAGAAAAAAAAATTCCTATCTCTAAATATCATCTGGAGAAAGGCTAGGCACAAAAGCTTTCCTTTCTTAAATAATGCATGATGAATATATTGCTTAATGCTTCTGAGTTCCACAGGCAAAAATTCATATTATTGCTAAAAGAAGGACAGACAGATTGCAGAAACATTTCATTTGGAAGATTGGTGCGCCTCTAAGGAGCTGGAGCTTTTTCCAGAATGAGATTTAACATATGAAAATGCTTAGAACTGTCAGTCCTGGCAACAGCAACATGAACTGTTAATATCTTCAGGGATTTAGGCATAAAGTTGTCAGTGGCAGCAAAATGTAAAAAAAAAAAAAAAAAACCTGTTAAAATGAAAATACAATTGTACAATAACGGCAGGGTAGTGGTTGTGTTAAATAATATGAAGGAAAGATTCATCCTTATGAAGGAAGAAAGGAGAATCAGTTTATTAGAATACAAATTGTCCTCAGTTCAAGAGCACTTTGCAAATTATTATCAAGCATATACAAATTTGATCTGAAACACAGAATCTGGGGAATCAATTAGTGATAAAAAGCCTACCATAAATTCTCAGTTATGTACTGCTTAATATTGCAGATTAATCCAGCCATATGACTTCCATCTGCCTATTCCAAGCATTATGAGGGGAAGCCAGAAATGAACAAAACATTATTCAGGAGTCTTTATCAGAGATTCTGCCATTCTTTCAGAGAAAATCCCTCATCAGGTCTTTCTCAGATTCAAATGACATGTTTGGTGGAATTCTGAATTTCTATCCTTTACTTTTTGTTTTAAAAAATCAGATGTATTTTACATTTTGAAGAAGGCAACAAAAGAACACAAAAGAAGTTTAGTTGATCATACATTATCCATCCAGCACATATTCTGTATCAGTAGTGGCTAACCAGATACCATAGGAAAACTCATAAGCAGGACATTCTCTGCATATTTTCTAACATCTGGCATTTAGAAATATACCATATCTAATGTACAACCAGATTAACTAAAAGATATAATAATATAAAGAGGAACAGCTTAGTGCGGTGTTGTGTAATGTTTTCCCCTCTGGATCATTTGTCATCCCACAATGCAGAAGTAACACCTGGAAGTTCCAGCTACCTAAGGCCCATGAAAGCCTTGTGGGAGACCCCCAGAGCCTCTTCAAAGTTCCTGCTATATGGAAATGTTTAATGCATCACAAAGGGAAAATTATTAAATACATGAAGCCCGTTCTATCTACTCTTCTAATTCATTATATTTAATTACACATTATCAGTTAAATCAAATCAAATCAAGCCAAATAATATCAATTTGGGGGTTTGTTCTAGCCCTCCCATTTTTTGGACTGCAAATACTGACATGCCATTCAAAAACCAAGTTTGGCTTTTGTCTGATCAAGGTTGCATGTCCTTACTTTAATACCTTTCCTGAGTTTGGAGACTGCTGTATTGTTTGTAACTTTGGGGAAGAGACAGGGTGCAAGAGACACTTGTACTTCACATAAGCCCCTCCCTCCCACCTTCTTTGAAATGGATAGAAGCACAGATTTCACGTCAATGCCACATCCTCATCTTTTCAATTTTCTGCCCGTATTGATATAGACTATTCTATGTCCTTCTAAACCTCCACAGTCAATGAGTTCCATTCTGAAGAAGAAATAGGATCAGCATGGGCCTCTAAAGCCTACTCTGATCTACTTGGTATTCATTTTTAAGCCATTCTTTTTCTTTATTCTGAACTGCAGATTAAATGTTTGCTCTGCCTGGAAGTGCAGTATGAAGCCACCATGTTTTAGATTAACTTATTTCTAACTAGAGGGAAGGATGTTTTTTGGCTGCTCTTGCTTCATTCAGCCTGTCTTCAAAGGGGCCAATGGCTAGGGATGATGGGAACTGAAGTCTGACACATTTAAATGGCACTGGATTGGGGAAGGCTAGCTTAAGCCATGGTGGGAATATCCACTACATTCAAAAACCTATTAGCTCACAATGATGTAAAGCAGTAGTTGAGTGGACTGGTTTGAAACCAGTGGGAACAAATGGACTAAAATAAGCTCAGGTTTAAGGCATTATGGTACAAGGATCTAGGTTCTTGGGGATACACAGCTTCCCCCATCGAACTACTAAAGTCCATTCGACTTCATTGGATGTTGACTTTATCTATAAATTAAATAATAATAATAATAATAATAATAATAATAATAATAATAATAATCTAATACAGTTCATCTGCCAGGGAAGTCTCTCTCAATATATCTCATTGGCTGCATGTCACTTGGATCATCTACTGGATCCTGCACCACCCTTCCTTGGAACTTACTATGCCTCATTTTTAAAATTAAAATAATAAACAAGTCTTTTAAAAGAACATCAGTGCTATTAATTTGTTTGTATTAATATAAATACACTTTTACTAAGTTAAGTGTACCAAGCCTTATTCCATATCACTGTTTTGAAAAGTTGTACCCTTCAACTTTTCCCAATTTCTGGGCTTCCTTTGAACTCCCAGCCATTATTTCTTTTTCATACCAACAACATGATTTGATTTCATACAGTATTGAAAAGGAGAAGTTCTAGTTACCTTATCAAATTTATCTATATTATTTTCTCCCTTGGTGAATATTTAGGGCTAACAGAATAATAGGATACTTATGATCAAAACCATACCATATTCTGAAGAGCCAAGCACTTTCTGCTTTGGTTGTGCTTTTATCCAGGTTATTGGCAGCCTGCAATAATATTGAAAATGAAGATGATGACGATGATGATGATGATATTGATAATCATGCTCTTTTCAATGAAAGATGTTCACATTTTACAAGCAAACATCTTTTAAAAATGTAAATGATTTAAAAGGACAGTTAACAGTGCCCAGATACAATTTAAAATACAGCTAAAATATAGCTACAACTACCTGTCATTTATTTATTTAGAACATTTATATTGCAGTGATCTTCACCTATGGAATTCAAAATTATTTACATTGTGTTTTGGAATTTCTTCCACCTAGGCAATAACCAAATTATCTTAGCTTCAGCAACATGACTGCTTGATGTAGATCTCTTCTGTACAAGCTCTCTTAAATATGCTCTTCTTCTGTTCCCATTTATTTTCACTTCCTGGGTGCTTGTAATGTCCTATCTCTGAGTTACACCTGGACTGGCCTCTGGCAATGTGAATCATGGATATGTGATTTTTGCTAAGTTTCATGTTTTCCTCCTGTGATTGTGAGAAGATACTTCTTTTGAAATAAATCCTGATTTCTAAATTTGCTGCGTTGTGTTTTTCTTCTACTGTATACTTATTGATACCACAGATTATCCAGCTGGGTAAGATCCCAAATTTCTCATCTTGCTCTTTCCTGCTGAACAAATATGCATCTCCATTATATGATCTTTGTGCTGTAAAGTTCATTTTCTCTTGTTAATGTCATTTAATCTTATTTAGTTTATACGGGCAACAATTACTAGTATGCTGTGGGCAGCTTTCCAAATATTTTGGGAATGGTTCTGCAGTGTACACCATATGCACAACAGTTGAGTTATGGACCCTTATTTTGATTTCACTGATTTTCTTTTGGATTAAAACGATAGCCTCTTCTGTGCAGTCTTATCACCCAAACTGTTCATGGATATTTTATGTTATTATTTTTAGAGAAATTAAATCTGTTACAATATATTTATAATGTAAACTAATAAAGGACATGTATGTGGTATAAGGCAAATAACATAATTTGATAGATTTTTATGCAATGAACTATATCCAGTAGAAATGAGTAATGATCTTTAAGTTCTTAGCACAGCATTGACTTTCTAGAGTGAAAAAACCTCCAATGTTTGTCTTTCCTTTTACTCTGAGGGGATCTCTGATCATGTGAACCTTATCTTTTCACAGCAGATCATGTTTTGTTCACACTTCTTTGGGTCATACTTGAGAACAGTGGTGCAAAATATACAGCCTGCCAGTGTCTCCTCTTTAGCTGCTGGACTTCCTGTCAAATAAATGGGGTACAAGTGTTGACCCTTTTTTGGTGCTTTTTTTAATGTTGCTTTGGGTCCCTGGAGGAAAGAACAGCAGCCTCACAAATAAATGCAACCAGAATGGTTGTATTGAAGTGAATGGTTGGTACAAGCATTAGTTAGGAAGTTAGGAAGTCAAAACCTGGGTGCCAAGGTCTGGATTTGTAATAAAAAAAATCAGAATGGGGGTGGGTGGGGGAGGTCTAGATGGAGCAAAGAGTTGGAGATCAGGGAGAGATAATGTGTCTGCTATTTGACAGTTTGGAGTCAGTGAAGAAAGTTATAACTAACAAATTCCAAAGTAAAAGATGAAACTGAATAATTAGGAAAAGTATAAAGATCTGTAGAGTTGGATGCAATAAAAATACATGGGGAGGAAGGAATGGAGCAGAAGTTTAGCCTGGTGTCATAGCTGGGAAGAAGAATTAAAGGGAAATAGAAAACAGCTAAGAGATAAGGAAACAAGAGACAAAGCTTTAAAACAAGCAAGAATGTTTATAGTAAGCGGGAAACAAAAAAAGGAGAAAGCACAGATCTTTTCTCCCTGCAGCACCTTGGTCAGACAGGGTTTTTTTCTCTGCTGCAAACGGGATAGGAAGTTTACAGGTGCAAAAGAATAAGGAGGTTCAATTGGCAGAACTCAGCCAGTGGAGGAGAGAGAGGCTGACAGCTTCATCAGCAGGGAAATTGCCCAGTCAATTATTTGGAGGATGACTGAGGCTTACAAGTGCCAGGAGAAGCAGCATCTGTTTCAGGTGGATGAAAGAGATTCCCCGCAGAAGAGATTTAAGGTACCCATTTCAGCAATGAAAACCATAAAAGATGGGTCCTGGCCCTACCTGCTTTTGAAATTGTATACTCCAGCTTTAAATGAAAACATTCCTGCAATAATAAATCTTGGTCTGCTGCAGCCTTTTCCAATCAGGGAAACTGTGTAATTGCACTACACCTGTATTGATATCCGGCTGGGAAACAATGTCCCTATGTGCAACTGTATGTAAAGCAAAAGCTCTTACTGTTATAAAGGCATTTTTTTAATCTTCTACATTTATTGAAGCAAGGGTGTTCTTGGTTATTCTGGGCTTAGGGAAAATACGCAAACGGTGGTCAGAATTCTGGCAGGGCAGTCTGTGGTGTGACAAAAAAAATCACTAAAGGGAAAAAGGGCACTGAAAAGCTGTACAGGTAGTCCCCGGGTTAAGAATGTCCAGTTTACAGATGACCCATAATTAAGAATGGAGCCTATTGTAGCAAAATTCAAATTAAATCCACAATGATTTGAATTAATTACACAATACTACTTACTTATATAGTATTATACAATAATACTGTTCTGGCTTACATACAAATTTGACTTAAGGACAGACCTTGGGAATGGAACTCGTTCTTAAACTGGGGACTACCTGTATTTCAAAATATTTACAGATGACCCATAATTAAGAATGGAGCCTATTGTAGCAAAATTCAAATTAAATCCACAATGATTTGAATTAATTACACAATACTACTTACTTATATAGTATTATACAATAATACTGTTCTGGCTTACATACAAATTTGACTTAAGGACAGACCTTGGGAATGGAACTCGTTCTTAAACTGGGGACTACCTGTATTTCAAAATACAGCACTGCTGAATTTGCAAATATTTGTGGTAATAAAATACACTATGGTGTCCTGAAAAAGTTATAAAAATAATGCTTGCAATAAAACATTTAATGAAGTAAGACTAGCAGTTATTCTTAGAAACACATGAATATATAAAATCAGTGAAATGGCTCTTATACATTTAGTATATCACAGAATCCTGTGATTAGAGGCTTCATGTAGATCTTGAGGATGTTGGCTATAATTGAAGAGAAGACAGAAGTTTATTCAGCTGCAGTTTCACAGGCAACAGACAGTCTCTTTTCTGGGGCAATTATGTGGAGAATCAGGAAGCTTCCAATTCTGTTTAACAACAGCTTGTCCTATTGACCAAACTAACAAATTGTGGTTAACATGAATGCTGACTAATATTATCTGAAACAAGCCATCTTAAAATCTTGTTTCAGAAAAGCAAGAATTATAATTATCTATAGTCTGTTGGTTCAGATGTTATGTTAAACAAAAACTTAACATATTACTTTTCTTGGCTGTGCTGAAGGACTGGAGGAGAACAAAGTATGTATCAGATTAAGGTTTACTTAATCTTGTTCATATCATATTAAATTATGGTGATTTGCCAATCTGGATAGTGAAATAAATTGCACTCATTCTAAAATATATTGTTTCAAGGTGGTAGTCTGCCACAAAAGCCAATGGACTGAAGTACACTTAAGTTCTATGATTTACTATGACTGTTATATCTGAAACAAGTGAGGGAAGGATCATGAATAGTTTCTCAATTTAAACCAGTTAATTTCTATTTAATAATAAACTCTTCTAGATATTAATAATAATTTCTGAGACAGGAGGAGGCAATTTGGTGCCCTCCAAATGTTTTAGACTGCAACTTCCATAACTCCAGGTAATAATATAATGGATTGTGGGATTGTGTCAAGGGAGTTCAGGAATTACCATCCAAAACAGCAGGAGAGCACCAGATTGCTTATCTTTATTCTGAGAAAATGGGCCTAAGAGGTTCACTGAAATATGTCAGTCAACCGAACAGCAGCTCTCTCGGAATGCCTCTATTTGTTGAGGGAAATAGATAGTTCTAGTTGTTTCATACTAACAAGAATGTTGCAGGATGGTGCCTAATCTTTTCTAATAACTTTAATAAGTGCACTGATATGAACTCATTTAGGAACAAGATCTGCTTCACGGCACCTTCATCCAGTATTTATTCATAATTACATTTTTAAGACTGCCTACTTGTTGATGACTCTGAATGGTACACAGAATTATAAGCAAAAGTATAGAATTACAGCAACAAACAGAAAAGAAGATGGTCATCCTACATTAACAAACATCTACTAAAACCCTTTAAAACCACTCATATAGGGAGCCTGCATTTCATCCTTGTCTAGAACTGGAGGAAAGATTAGGTTTTTGAGGCACATTTAAAGGAAAGCAGGATGGGGCCTATTCAAATTTCCAGGGGATGCTGTTTCCCAGGGCAAGAATCATGACAGAGAAGGGAGACCTTTTAAGTCCCATTAGATAATGTACCTTAATGGATGGGACCTGGAGCATACTGACTCTATCCAATCATATGGATTGGGCAGAAACAACAGGATCTTTGATTGTGGAGATTAGACAGTTGGCTATTAAAGACAGAATCTTTTTTGTAGTGGTCAAAGGTTTTATGGATGTCTTGGATGGGACTCACCCCATATACTATGGCTACCTTTCCTTTTGCAGAGCAGTGGTTTCTACATGTATGATTGGGGGATCTATTTTGTCAATTTTGAAGTTGTTACTGAAGTATAAAATATCCTGTCCTCATTACTGGTGCTGCTATAGCAGTGCCAGAAGGCAGAATGAAAACCATTGGTCTATTCAGAAAATACTAGTTACTGCTAACAGCTACTATTTTAATTTTCCCACAATGGCCCCGGAGCTACAACTAGGGTACTATGGAATAATCCTTAGACACTATGAAGTCTAAGTATCTGCTGCAGCATGGGTGGCCATCATTTTTAATCTGTCTGGCTTGAGAAAAAAATCCCAATGTTTGTGATTTAGGAAGAGTTAGTAGAGCACCCTTAGCTGTCAGCTGCCCAGTGCTGCTAAGCCCCTGATACTAGGCATGGGTGCATTCATCTGTAAAACTGTATCTTTAGACATATTCACCTCATAACAATACTATTATTTTTCAAGAAGCCAGGCTATTTCTATCCTGTTTTCCTATGATTAATGGCAATTAGAGAGTGCAGGTTTTGGGGGAATTTGGGGCTGGGGAATTGCTTCTTATTATGCATTGCAACAGTTACCACTCTGGCATCTTTAGAGGTGTTGGGTTGCGATTCTCCAAATACCAAGCCAGAATGGACTGTGCTGGGGAGTTGTAGTTCTAACATCTTACCAGGTTGTCAGGGTGGAGAAAGGTGGTATATTTCTACTTTAAGGTTTGCTAAATAAGCTGCAAATAAGGTTGCTACTTATTTTGCTTTTCTGTTATTGATATTTCATATTCAATATGTTTTCTGGTTTGAAGGCTTTTATGGTTTTTTTTAACAAAGCAAGATGTACTTTTAAATTAAATAAATGAAGAACTTAATGCTAAACTTCTCCACTGATGTGCATCAAGGCTGCCTTGTGCTCTAGAAAAGTTAGAAACAAAGCAAAGTGGCTGCATTCAATTACTACTGAACATTATTGATGGTCTCACAATATTGCATTATGAAAAAACTATTAGTGAATAAGTGGAAATAAATGAGCTGCTAATCCATGACAGGTCAAGTGATAAAAGTACTGCGAATTACAAATCTGGCAAGGCACAAAAAAGTTGTGAATGTCTTGATGAGTGTAAAGTAATAGGATGAGGCCAATGTGACTTCAAGAGAAGTTGCATGTTAAAGAAGCTGATTATGCAATACTTGGAAACATTCACACAGTGGAAACAACAAAGACCATTTTGGAACTTTTAAAGCAGGAATATTAAAATGTAGTTCACCGACTACTACTGGACTGCAGTTTTCATCATTCCTAATTATGACAATACTGGAATTTAACAAAATTGGGACTATCACAGGTTTTCCCCCATGCTTTAAATGCATGAGTATAGTAACAGTTTCCAAAGTAGTAGCCATAAAAGCAACAAAGACTTCTTATAGTCCTACTACAGGAATAGCAGTTGCTTCTCATTTCATCTTATTCCCTTTATTTGCACTCAGACAATACAATCGTCATAACAGAGAACATGAAACCTGATTTTCCCTATTCAGCCTTTTTTTTTGAGGCCAGCCCAACTATTAGGGGTAGGATGAGGCAGCTGCTTCAGGCATCAGATTCTTGGGAGTAAAGATCACCTGTGTAGAGTTGGCAGGGGAGAATATGTATGTCTCACATAGGTGTCTGCTCTTAGCCATCATGATATTAAGCAATAAGCAAAATGTGTGTTGGAATGTCATGATGCAAGCTCTGCCTTTTTGTACTTGCATAATGATGTTGCCTGAAAGTAAATAAGGTGTGGAGCTTATGTTATGAAGATGCAACACATTTTGTTACTTGTCCCAAACCCAGACTCCTATGATGTCACCAAATCTACTTCCATCTCCCTGAGGTAACCTGCTGCTTCCCCACACAATCCAGGCACAAAGGTTGAGGACCCAACATCCAGTTTGAAAGGTTTCTTATGTAGCACCTTATTCTTCAAAACAAGTAGCAAAATACCTTGAGCAACTTCTGTCTTTTTTCTGAGTAGTCTCTTATGGAGGAAATGGGCATATGAGAAAAAGGATCTCATACAGATTCAGATCTCTAATCTGTAATACCCTGGCCTGCTGGCCTGTTTTCATGTCTATGTGTAGACACTAAGTGAGAGAGAAATAGGCTTTTATAGATGTCCTTCAGATAAGGACATTGCTATAACATTTGTGAGTTTGAATTTATGATCTAAAAAAAGTATTGTGGCATCAGCTTCTTATTTCAGTGATGCATGCCATCAGGGAATGAATGGAGAAAAGGAGATTCACAAAGAGGACTTTAAAAAATGTCCAATCCATATATGTCTAGATGTTGCTGGTTCCAGCATAGCTACCCATGCCAGCAACTACTGAGTACTCTGAATACTTATGATAAGCTGGTCTTTGGCTGTAATAAAATTTAAGGTTCAAATTTCAATATTTACTACTGTCCTCAATGTGGTTCCTTCCAGTATTTTGGGACTACAGCTTCCAGAATTCCTAACCAGACTGGGAAAGGCTGCTAAAAACAGTCTTCAAAAAATAAGGATTGGAATAGGGCATAGTTAGAAGGCTATAAAACAATGTATAAGTAATTTAAGAAACCTTGGCAAGAAGTATTTCTCAAAATTTAGAATTTGAGTAATAAACGCATCTTTGATTTATTCCTACAAAGTACGTAATTTTCCAAAATGCCGTTTAGAAATCAGTGAGAAATGGCTAATGGATTTATTCTATCAAAATAAAAATGGTTCATATATCCATAAAAAATGAAATTATAAGTTATTTTACAATTTGGGTGAATATAGAGTATATGAAAGTTATATAAGACTTCCTGATTTTCAGGATCAGAATTGGAGATTTTCCCAAGCATCCTAGAAAACACATTGTAAAATTTAAAGCCTTCAGTCCCACACATGTGAATATAAATTTCCTTTCAAATATTCATATTTACATTTTAACTTGCCTGAGTAGCAGTTTCTATCTTTTGATCCTCATCTGGATCAATTCCAACCCTATGAAGAAAAGAAAGGAAGAAAATGTTAAATGCAGGATAGGTGGACTTAAGTACAGCAAAAACTCTCTATAAAACATCACAGATATTAAAATAAAATTAGCAAAACATGCATAGGCAAAATTTACAGAAAACAAAATTTACAGAAAACATTTCAGACATGCTTCCCTCTGGATCCTGGCTTGCTATATTTACGTATTTGGTTTATTTCACATTCTCAAGATACATAATATTCCAACTATCAAAAGTTAAAAAGTACAAATTGAAATTATTGATCAAGTAGTTAGGTGATCTTAGTATTATTTTAAGTCTGGTGAAACAGGTGTGAGTTATAAATTTGGGCAACTAGTAGGTGAAAAGAAAGTGATACGGAGAACACTAACTTTGCCTGTATCTTCAGATTTTTGGAATCCAAATAGGGTAGTCATAAATAAAAACTACTGTATAACAAAGCAGAATTTAATTTATTTACATTCAACACAATATTTACTAAAATAAAATAAGCAAAAGGAAAAAAATTAAGCAAAATGTCTGGTATATTTTACTGGTCCATTCAGGTGGATGTTTTGTCATCCATTTCTACATTCCACATAATTATTTACTGCTGACAGTTGTAAGGAAGTGCTTTGTGCAATGTTATATGGATATAAAGCAAGTTGTTCTATGTCTTATGGACCATTCTCAATAGCAGCTTTTTCCCTAATGAAATACAGTTCTAATTTTATCACTATATGTCACAGTAAGCACGGGTTACTGGATAAAGATATCCTGTTAAGTCTGAGCCAGAGTGACACAGGGAAGGATGCCAGGCACATCACTCCTTCTAATTGCTTTCCTGACAGTGAAAATTTCAAAGATTAACTTCAAACTTTATTAGGATCCTTTCTTATTAATCTTGACTTTTTTCATGTGCCTATTTGTGATGGCCAAGCCTTTCTCTCTATTTTATAAACTCCTTCCAAGGATAAATTTCAGGGCAACCTTGGATTAATCCTCATGTGTATTTTTTTTTTAATCCCCCAAGGATGAACCTTATGTTGAAACTGTACTTGAAAGATTCCCTAGATAAGGTATTTTTAACTAACCTTTGATATGGTAATCTCAGGGGCAGCCTTTCCAGCAAAGCAACCTCCGGTGTTCATTGTTCCTACATCAGCAACCTCTGATTCAAAATGTTCCCTACTCAGATTTCCATAAAAGCAGAGCCAATTTATCATTGATTCTATGCCCGATGAATAAAGGAAGCTAACCAGTAAAGAGAAAAATATTTAGCTATGATATTGTGGGACCTGTTCCACAAGACATATGACAGGATTAAAAAATTACAGTATTTATAAGTTCAAAGACAAGCATAACACAGTGCATCTATTTCTCTGGCTATATGTATGCAACTACCTTATATGGCAATGCATTATATTGTTACAAATATCTATTTCCTAAATAGTCATTAAGAACCTCGCTTGTTATTATGAAAAAATGCTGAATTGGCATGTCCCCATTTTGAAGGCCCCTTAACTTGAGTTATGGCATTGTTTCCTTGTACATGACTTATTCATTTGGAGATAATGGTGGAGGCCTTCTTTTGGTACACTTTATTCCTATAGTATGTAACCTTTTGTTGGCAGGGACAGGGTATACAGAATATCTGAAGAACTTTCAGATTTTCACTTCACAAGGTAACCATGAATTTCAGATAGTATTTAATTTCAAGTCTACCTTCAGTTATGGAAAGCTACTGGGGGTCTTTGGGCCAGTCATACTTTCCCACAATTAGGATTACTCAATTATCCAGTTATCATTGTTTTTAATAGTTTATAATTGTGGCATTTTATGTGTTGGGAGCTAGTAGTTGTTAGGTGTTGGAACTGTCATTCTTGTCCCTTCATTTGATTTATTTTATCTGATGATAGAGACAGAGCTCATTTTGATAATGGCTGCATGATGAAATAAGAACCTGGTATGCGAGCCTTCTTAATAGCCTGGTTTAAGGGTTTCGTTTCCAGAGGGAACTGACTTTGATAATGATGCAAGGGCTGAAGAAAAGAAAAGGAAATTATTATTAAAATCCTGCACTTGTGTTTTGTTTTGTTTTGTTGAACAAAAGTTTTAAAAGTCTACAAATATCTCTAACAATTGTTAAGTGATCAGAAAAAATGTGTGAGAACTATTGGCCTAGTATAACAAATTTCTACGTTAAGTCCAATTGCCAAATATGTCTGAAGATTTATTAGATAGAAAGAATATTTTAAAGTATTTCTTAACACACTTCATCCCTTTTATAATTTAGTATAAATCACATTAAAATGTATCTTTTCTTCTAAAGAATGCTCTGGAAGTAATTCATTCATGTTTATAATTATGAGAACGTTCCCAGTAATAACTCTGAATTAAAAGATATAGATTTATAGAAGATTGTGAGAACTGATATAAGATTACTCTGGTGAAATGGAGAATAGTCCACTTTCACTGTTCTGCAGGCACATAAACTGCCTGTTTTTTTGCCTGAAAATTGTTGTTGTGCATTAAAATGTATTAAGATTAATCTTTGAATTATGGAGTAGCAAGAGAGTAACATTTTTTTCTGGATTAACATAAAAAGTAATCAAATGATAACACTTTCATTTGCAGGTTGATTGCCGAATATGATAAGGCTTTTATGTGATGAAAGCAAAGCGTGCATAAAAATAAGTGGAATGCTTAGTAAATGGTTCAACATTGACCAGGGAACAAGACAAGAATACATGATTCCCCTCCCTGGTTGTTTATAATATATAATGAATGCTTGGGGTAATAGTAGAAGTGTGTTTGTTGAGGATATGAATATATATGTATGCAGATGATGCTATGCTATTGGCCTAGAACCAAATTATTTGATGCCAATATTAGAAAGACTGTCATGCAATGGGAAATATGGATCTTAAAATATATGTATCAAAGGCCAAAGTGTTGGATAAGAAAATGGAGAGAACAATTGCAAATTATACATAAATGGAAGAGCAAGTAGATGCATTTGTATATCCTGGTAAAATGTTTATTAAAGAAAGGGAAAATGGATGGAAAAATTTTAGGATATGGAAATGCTAATATAAGAGTAACAGTTATTATGTGATCTGTTGGGAGAAATGAAACATAGAAGTTGAATTCATTATGCAAGTGACATAAATTGAAATAAATGACCTACTTTGTTTTGCATCATACAAATGACATAAAATATTGTGGATCAATATTCTCCAATTTAACATTTATGAATCAGAGACACCTTTCCAATTAGTCTATTAGAATGAAGTTTCACTAGTAACTACTTCAACTTTGTATCCAATATGTTTCTTTTAGATATATTGTTAATGTTGAGTTCTGATTTTGTGGGCATTCCTTACGAATACAAAGTTTTAACATCTCATTCTGAAAATTGAATGAAACTTTAATTTTGGGGATTGATTTCATACTTATAGAAATATTTGTATTAGTTTTTTATATCTTTTATTGATATAGATTTATTTTGTATTATTTTAAACATTACAGCAAGAGGTGAATTTATTATATGCTTATGCCTGTACCAAAGAAAGTTGGAAGTTATCTCTTTCTTTCTTTTCCTACTTTTTTTTGGTATTTCTTTTCTGATCTTCCTCTTTTTCTATTCTCTTTTTTTTCTCACTTCTCTAATATTTTACTTTCTGTTCAAATTTAATAACGTTTTTTTTAAAAAAATCTCATTCTGCCTTGTTTATCTAGTGCTGTGTGTATGGTGGGAAAGAGCTCCCATCCTGGTGTTGTATGGGGGTCCAGATTTCTTATAAAGGCCACGGTGTAAACATCTCTTTCATGATGCAATCCTTTCTCTTGTGGCCTGCTCCCTTCACGATTCCCCATGCTTGAACTGAATCCAAAGGAAAGACTAATGAGATAACTCCTCCCAGTGGGCATTCTCAGATTGGGAAGCATGAAACCCAGGGATGTTTCAGATTGATGGAAAGATATGTCACAGGACTAAAGTCCACAGGACAACAAGCCCAAACCCACAGACAATAACATCCTTTGTGATCACTAATAATAAGCTAAGTTCAGAAATAGCAATATAAATTTGAAAGAGATTCTCACACTCTGAGAATAAAGTAGAAAAACACAGCCTCCTTTTTTTAGAATGAAACATCTGAGAACCTGCAAGATGGATTTTTGCACAGCAATTACCAGAAACAAGGCAGTCACTTATGCATTCTGTTAAAATTAAAAATAATAATAATTATACTATTTGGTTGATTTTATATTCTTTAAATAATTGATGGACTAGAAAGATCATGGGACCTGAAGTCCAAACAATTTTCTGGAGAGCATTAAGTTCAGGAAGAAGTATCACCTGTGGCCTAGTATATCTATATTAAAGATTGGAGATCTTCTGATTGTCCACATTTGGAAGCTTTGTTAGAAGAAACATTCTAATATTTAGTGTTTAGAGGAAAAAAATGCCTCTGGGTATATAGAAGTTATATGTAAATTTGAATTCTATTAGTATTTGAATTCTATTTTTAAAATTTTAGAAGAAGGAAGCCATTATAATTAGCAGAGAGACAAAACCAAAATAGTTAAGAGGGTTTTTTTTTTTAAAATAATAGAAGCTCTGGGAAATGCAATCTATTTGTATTTTACAACTGTCACATTTTCACTTGTGAGAGATAATTCTCGCTTCGGCAGGTGCTTCCTTTCACTCCCTTTGCCTGTAGCTGTTTTTTTTTTAAAAATAATATTTTATCTTCCACTGTTTTGGAGATAGCAGCAGTGGCATCCACAGAAAACTGTACAATGACAAAATGCCATGCAGTGATGTCATCATGCAAATGCCACTGTAAGGTATTTGTCATTCTGCCATTTTCCCTCTTGACTCCCTCTATGGACACCCGTGGAAGGTAGTGGTATAATTTTCTTGAAATTACATGTTTTAGACAAACCAAACCAAGAAAAGTGCACGGATGCAGTCACCAAGAGTCCAGCTTGATTCAAGGAAGC